ATCATGTTGTGATAGTAAGCTATGCACCACTTTTTATAAATGCACATGACAAAAAGTATGTATTTCTATTTCCTCTTAAATCGAAAGAACAAGTGTCATGTTACATTTATTCATGGAGTAATTGAGAGCATTAGTATACAACTGTTAAAGATAAGTACATAAAATGTTCATGGTTTGTTCCCATTCATTTTTTGTACATGGTGGTTAAATCAATGATGACTCCTGCTTGATGTTTAATTCTACTGTAAAAATGTTAAGCTTGATCTTTGTAAATCATAATGCCAAAGTTTAGTGATTCTTTTAAACAAAATAATAGCTGTTTGTAATTTTTTATATAAGTATAAGCCAAATACCCTGCATTTACTGAAAGAAAATGAACTTAGGTGAGGGAAGAATGCTTCTTTCATAAAGGAATAGACAATTATATAATATTTACTAAGCTACCTATTGACACTAAGTGATACATGAAATCTTAGAAAGGAAAGTTTCATTTTTAACTCAGAACCTCGCATGTTTTTAATCCTTTAAATTTAGTTTTATACCAAGTGGAGTTATTGAAATTAATTGATGTATGAAAAAAAGTAATTGAAAAAAAGTAATTGACATTGTTTGTGCGGGGTGTTCATTTATAGCATTATTGATAATTACACGAGGGAGTTCTGAACTAAACTGAGTGTATATAATAAACATATATTGTGAGTTATTGTGTCACTGGGCGTGATTTTCTATATTTTTTCTATTTCATTGATATACCTTAAATTACATAATAATATAATATCAATAATAGGACTTTATTTAATTTCAAATAAATAAAAAGATTGCAATAATTACTAAAATACTATATTAAATATATGGGAATGAATATATTTACTATAGGTGTTAAAAAAAATTATTTATAATTTTACGTATTTAAATCTAATTACTATTTAAACATATTGAGATTTTGATTATTTGTTTATATTTTTAAATATTTCATTATAAAAAATATATTATGAAATTTTCATAATTTTTTATTTTGTAATTAATTTAACATGGCATTTTAAATTTGAGATCCTAATATTTATTACACGATCCAATAGACATTAATTAATGTGATTATTTTAAATATATGAAAATAAATATATATTATTTACCATAGATTTTAAATTTCTATTTTTTTTAATATTTGTACATATTCAGATCTAATTACTTTATTAACATATTATTATTTTCGTTATTTGTTTCATTTTAAATATTTTATCTTTTGTTCTTGAATCTTTTAGTTTTTTTAATAAATATTCTAATTTGTTTTTGTTGTGAATTTTAACTAAAATTATTTAAATAAAATTTTAAATAAAGTCAATAAATAGTTATATACATGTATGTTTTAATAAAATATGACTCATGCCACAAAAAGGGATATGTTTGGTTGATTGAACATTTTTAAATTAGATATATTTAAAATGTGTAAATGCATTCATAATAAATAAAAAATTAACTAATATAGATTTTTGTTTATTACAAATGTAAAAATGTAAAAAAATTTACACTTTTAGGTCATAATTATTTGTTTTATTTTATCATAATTAGTTTTTCTTTTATAAAAGGTAATTATCTATTTAACGGAAAAAATTACATATATTTTTATAAACGAGAAAATTCCATGTTTGTTTTATTTTATCATAATTAGTTATTTTTTATATATAAAATGTACTTATTTGTTTAACGGGAATAAATTATAAATATTTTTATTAAACGAGAATAAGTTACTAATATTTTTATAAACAGTAGAAGTCTAATTTTGATACAATTATTTTTATAAACGGGAATAAATTATAAATATTAATTAATTAATATTTTATTTTTTATTTATTATTTATCTTATTAATTAAAGTTAAGTCTTTAGAAAAAATTTTGGCGCTAAAATTAAGAGTAATTATATCCTTTATTTTTTTAAATTTTTATTTATTAAATATTTATTGATTTAAAAAAATATATAATTCTTTTAATAAAAAATTGTAATTCTACGTTTATGTTTTTTATTTATTTTTAATTTTACCTTTTTTTTATTAATCATTTTGTAAATAAAAAAATTCAATATCACATTTATTATTTTCAAAATAACTTTACTTTTTTTAATTTTTATTTGTTAATTGTTTTATTGATTTTAAAAATATACCATTTTTTTCTTAATAAAAAACTATAATCTCACATTTCATACTCCTAAAATTAATTGTTAAAATCATTTATATAGAATTTATTTATATTTATATAAATTATATATAAATATACTAAATAAATATTTGAGCTACATTTTTTTCTTTTTTGTAACTCCTATTATATAATTATTATAAATAAAATAAATATTTAAACTTATTTTGTATCTCCTATTATATAGTAATAATGAATAGAATAGTAGCAAAAGGAAATTAATGAATAAATTGAAACCCTCCGAAAAATATGAAAATTAAATAATAATAAAGATAGAGAAAATTTAAAGAATTAAAATAAATACAATTGATTATAAACATATTATTGTTGATTATGAAAAAACAAATTATAAAAATATTATTCATGATTATGCAAAATAAATAAAAAAAACTAAAAAGTAAGGACTTGTTTAAAAAGGTTTTGGTATTTAGTTTTTAAAAACAATTTTATAGAAAAAAAAAACATATTTCGTAATATTACTTTTAAAAATTATTTTAAAATTTCACAATATTATAAATTTACCATTTTACTTTTCCTTACCATTACACAGTATTTATAATTTTCAAAATAAAAATTTAAAAACTAAAATTTCTTAATTTTTTAAAATAAATTTAATTAGAATACACCAACAATAATCTCTTTTAAAATTTTCAAAAAAAATAAATTGAAAAACAGTTTTATAAGATTATACTAACAAACAAATTTTTAAAATTTTAAATTTAAAAAACCAAAAAAACAATTTTATAAAACCAATTCAAACAAAATTTATAATTATTAAATTTAAAAAACCAAAAAAAGAAATTTACAAAACCAATTCAAACAAATTTTATAATTTTTAATTGTGTTGATATAATTTTTGTTTAATCGTGACACCCTGTTTTCCCTTTTCGTTTAACCTAGCAAAATATGCAGCCGTCACTCTAATTCAACCTCGCCGCTGCTTCATCCTCCCGCACTCTGATTTTCACTTCTTCTTCAGCGTCACTGTCACTGTGAGTCTTCATGTTTCTCTATCCAGATTTTTTTTTTTTTTAAATTCTTCATGAAATGCATCTACCTGCTCCGTGTTGTTCTTGTGAAATGCATCTCAGACAGACGCGACAGTGATCCGCGCCGTAGCATCACCGTAGCGGCCAGCGGTCGATCCCCTCCGCACCGCCGTCCGCCGCGATTAGCTACATAGGTTTCTCTTGAGAATTAGATGTGTAAATTACTTTAGGTTTTCATTTTTTATGTTTGGATTTCAAATTGTAGGACAATGGGGCGGAAAGCTGGTGGGCTTTTTATCAACTCTAAGAGATTCAGTTCGCTTCATAAACCTTGCATGAAGGAAATGATAATGTTTATGAACTGTATGGCTACAAGCCATAGCGATGTCGAGGCATGTGCGAAGCAGAAGGAGATATTAAATACATGTATAGAATCTCAGGTAATGTAGTTCTTAATGTTATTACATGACATGGAAACTAAGCTGTGCATAAAAACTCTTTGACTTTTGTTTTTTCAGAGTAAAAAGAACAGAAAGTCTTGGGGGAGTATCAATTATCAACTGCAGAGGCTTAGCCGAGGAAGGAAGTAGTCTCAGGTTTTCTATTTAGCCATTTAGTTCAAGTTGAATTTATTTGAAGAATACCAATGTAATTTGTTCTGTATCAATTAAAGCTATGATAAGCTGCAAATAATTTATGAAACCATCACTTTGTTTTATAGTTTCTGCCCTTCATTAATATCATACATTCTTTTATATTTGATGAAGATGATAGCTATGTTCCATTGTTTGTCAACGATGATGTGCTGATGAGTTATGTTTGTTGATCATGTGATGTGATGCTTTTTTTAAATAGAATCTTGAAGATTAGAACCACTTTCCTTTCCAATTGATGAAGATGGTGGATTGTGTTGCTTTATTGGTCTATGGTGTAAGATACCGATGACTAGTGCTCATTGCTCATCATATGCTTCTTCAGGCAGATTTGGGAAAGTTGGGAAAACAGTTCTTATTATTTTTACCCTTGAACTATGAAGGATTGCATGAACAGCACACTTTTAAGAGCTCACATTTACACAATCGATCATATCTGAATCGGACGGTTATGATTTAAAAAGGATAATTTTGGGAAATTGAAACTGTTTTGTGAGTTGTAGGATCAAGATATATGATTAATGTCATCATTACAGTGTGAATGCGTGAAAATCCCGACAACAAATGTTTCAAATTTTTGGTGGGAATGTCTACACTTGATTTTGCTAAACCATTTGCTTGTTACTGTCCTTAAAAATCATCATATGCAAAGTGTCTGTATATACATCTCAAATGCGGATGGAGACATACATATTTACAGTCAATTTCTAGCTAGTTGCTATCATGCCATGAAGTGGTGGAGTGATTCGTTATCTAGTCTGCAATTTATCCTCTATCTTTGTTACTCTATTGGTTGTATCATATGATAAGGACAACTATGACAAGCCTACATGGAGAAATTCAAGTTAGGATCCTGTACTTAATTTTGGATGACAAGCCCACATGGAGAAATTCAAGTTAGGATCCTGTACTTAATAAAAATACAATGACGAGGGATGATTGGATGACCTTACTATTACTTAATTTTGGGACTTAGTTATTTTTTATGAAAGGGAAAGTGAAAAAATGATGGAAATAAAAAATGAGAGAATGCTTTGTAGTGAGAGAGAGATACAAAGTAACCAAATTCAACCCGAGGAGAATCTACTCACTTGTATGGACACAAGAGACTTTGTAGATATTGAATGTGTGAAAACAATCAATCCACCGCCCATTCTTAAGGGTTGGGGTATATGTAGCTATGATCCATTATTAGGGAAACGTCTTTACTTACCTCATATCTTAACCAAACTGGCCCTCTCAATTACAACTCATTTGCCACACATGAGGTGGTTAGCCTGTAATGAATATGGGTTTGGGTTAGGCGATGTAGGACTCAATTAGGCGATTCATATCGCACCCGTCCATTTTGTCTTATAATTCTTTTATGACATCTTTGACCTGATCGAGTCATTAACTATTTTCGTCTAAGACCCAATAAAAATTATCCCCGTCTAAATTCATTTTAGCTAGTGATGCTTCACATGAATTGTCTTGTCTAATACTATGAGAGAAGTTTATTAAAAAAAATATGAGAGAAGTAGGGAGTCAAACTTAAATTTAAAAATTATCAAATTTTTGGAATGAAAGGAGGGATTTTTTTTATAAATAACTACTATTTAAAAAATCCAAAGAAATATTAAAACGATCATTTTCAAATAAATAACGTGGATTCATAGAGGATATACCACAAATAGCATAGAGGCGTCACTACCCGTGGCTGCTGCTTATCTATCACCTTACATCACATGCAGTAGCACATGCACTATAAAGTAAGTAGCACATGCACTACAAAGTAAGAAGAATGTGCCATACTTCATACCTACTAAGTTGTTTTGTTTATTTTTATTTTGACTTTATTTTAACAAAAAAATAATACATATAAATATTAAATATAAAAGATTAATTTATAATAATATTATAAAAAAAAATTACATAACGATTGGAGATATTTTTATTAACCCCCTCGACCCAAATGCCCATCGGTTCCATAGTTCGGTCCCGTATTTTCCTTTGAGGTCTCGCTTAATTTTCATGAGGTGTTTGGGGTCTCCTAATATTCTCCTGAGTCAGAGGTGTTTGGTGAGATGATCCTGAAATATTAATGTTATCATATAATTCGTCGAGCATTTCTCCCTAGTTTATGACACTATCGAAGAATTTGGTGTCCATGTTGTCGTAGTCGGATCGCGTTGGTTAGGTTAGGTGGGCGGGATGGTTGGTTGAATTGGGACATTGAATCATTTTGAAAACAAAGCAATGGTTCTTGTGGTGTTTGAAAGACATGTGTTGGTTGGATGCTTTGACGGTGTGATATTTGGTTGTACATTGCTTGGGTGCTATGGTATGATGTAGTGGTATCATATGTGTCATTGGTGTTGTGGTAAGATGTGGTGGCAAAATATCGTTGATGGGTGTATAAGTCAAGCTCTTGATTTTGTGTTTGCACACGTGGCATGAATTGGTCGCAGGTTTGGATGGATGTGATATCGTAAGATTGTTGTGCTTGGGTGGGTTGTCAATGTTGTTGAGTTTGGTAATGTTGTGCGGTTGGTTTTTGGGTGTATGATGGTGAAACTCGTTTGCATGGGTCGATCAAATATGTCAGGGGAGACAAAAATAAATTTGTTGAAACCACTATATTCCAATTCATATAATTCCGAGTTGGTCTATCATCATCCTGCATGATTGGTTCGTTATGACCTGTTGATGTCAGTGCCTCCATTGACGACATGCATCCCTAGTGAAGTCTTTCAAAAGAATATACTCCATTGGTCATCGACTCTTACTTGACGCCATTCTCCCAAACACGCGGGGAGATATGAGAGAAGTAGGGAGTCAAATTTAAATTTAAAAATTATCAATTTTTTTGGAATGAAAGGAGGGAATTTTTTTTAAATAACTACTATTTAAAAAATCCAAAGAAATACTAAAACAACCATTTTTAAATAAATAACGTGGACTCATAGAGGATACACCACAAATAGCATATATGCGTTAGTGCACGTGGCTACTGCTTATCTGTCACGTCACATACAGTAGCACATGCACTATAAAGTAAGGAGAATGCGCCATACTTCATGGCTACTAAGTTGTTTTGTTTATTTTTATGTTTACTTTATTTTAATAAAAAAATAATAAATACAAATATTACATATAAAAGATTAACTTATAATAATATTATAAAAAAAAATACATAACGATTGGAGATATTTTTATTAACCCTCTCGACCCAAATGGCCATTGGTTCCTCAGTTCGGTTCCCCATATTTTCCTTCGAGGCCTCACTTAATTTTTATGAGGTGTTTGAGGTCTCCTAATATTCGTCTGAGTCAGAGGTGCTTGGTGAGATGGTCCTGAGATATTAGTGTTATCATATAATTCGTCGAGCATTTCTCCCTAGTTTATGACACTACCAAAGTATTTGGTGTCCATGTTATCGTAATTGGGTCGCGTTGGTTAGGTTAGGTGGGCAAGATGGTTGGCTGAATTGGGACAATGAATCATTTTGGAAACGAAGCAATGGTTCTTGTGGTGTTTGAAAGACATGTGTTCGTTTGGTGCTTCGACGATGTGGTATTTGGTTGTACATTAGTTGGGTGCTATGGTATGATATTGTGGTATCATATGTGTCATTGGTGTTGCAGTAAGATGTGGTGGCAGAATATGGTTGATGGGTGTATAAGTCAAGCTCTTGATTTTGTGTTTGCGCGTGTGGCATGAATTGGTCACTGGTTTGGATGGATGTGATATCGCAAGATTGTTGTGTTTGGGTGGGTTGACAATGTTGTTGAGTTTAGTAATGTTGTGTGGTTGGTTGTTGGGTGTATGATGACGAAGATCATTTGCGTGGGTCGATCAAATATATCGTGGGAGACGAAAACAAATTTGTTGAAACCACTATATTCCAATTCATATAATTCTGAGTTGGTCTAACATCATCCTGCATGATAGGTTCGTTATGACTTGTTGATGTCAGTGCCTCCATTGACGACATGCATCCCTAGTGAAGTCTTTCAAAAGAGTATACTCCATTGATCATCGACTCTTATTTGACTTCATTCTCCCAAACATGCCGGGGGGGGGGGGGTATGAGAGAAGTAGGGAGTCAAATTTGAATTTAAAAATTATCAAATTTTTGGAATGAAAGGAGAGAATATTTTTTAAATAACTACTATTTAAAAAAATCTAAAGAAATACTTGTTTACAGTGATTTCTAGTAAACAACCGCTAGTCTTCTAATTTATTGATTATTATTGGTTACTTGCAGGATCGACTAGATTGATCCTAGAACACATGTGTCATAACTCATTTCTATGTTCATACCCATTATCTTGATAAACTTATATTGTATGTTAAGTTCGAATGTGAGATTCTTAAGAAATATCTCTAAAATTGTCTATAGGAATAAACTGACTGAATGTAGAAAGGAAAGGCTTCGAATCAGACTTAGGATTTAATGCTTGAATGTAAAGAAAGATAAGGAGTTTATGAGAATATAACAGTTTCTGGAAATATGAAGTGTTTGAATAAAAGGATAAAGTAAAAGTGAAGTTTATAAAGAAATAAATGTGTTTAAAGGCAAGTAAAACAAGGAAATGCAAGGAAATCGAAAGATTTAAGGACAAAAATACTGTAATAGTGAACTAAATATAAAAAGACTTGTATTGAAATTGTAAAGAATCATGATGTTCAATACGTACATTTTGTCTTCTGACTCGTTTCCCTTAATTCACGGTAATTTGAGTGTTTTGAGATTTTTTAGTACATGAAAATGAACATGCCAAATCTAACATAAAAACACCTATTTATAGTGTCTTGACCCTAACGGTCCTACTCTAAAATCATGCCACGTTCGAAGCATGCAGACTTCTTACGTTTACTGACTTCCACGCGTCTTCTAAGAATGGCGCTCCTATTTGAAATTCGAAATCTGTACCAATCGAAGCATCTTACTA